AGAAACAGAAAAAGTTATTCTAAGATATAGGAGGGGAAAAAAGATTGTAACACCACAATAAGACATTCACTCTGCATTTCATGATAACTAAGACAATTCAGGAAACACATTAAATTACAAAGTTTTAATTTTCTGACAAAAACAAAGACTGTAACTTCATACTTTCCCAGAACTAATGCAAGCATTAATTCATGATGAGATTTTTGTCTAACTGGGTCTAAGAAGAAAGAGCATAAACTTCCCCCCAAGGAGAAAATGGCTTTACTTTTAATTTTAACAATATACAAACATGGTTGAATCTAACTCTTAGCAGTGTCAGTTTCATCTGTAACAATGGGGAGGTGATATTCACCAGTGAACTGTAGTAAAGATTAAATTATGTAATACATGCAGAAGGACATAGTAGACTGCCTTAAGTAGTTTTCTAACATAAGGAGATCACACTGGACTTTGCTTTGATCTGCTTTCTTATAAAAGCTGAAGAGCTAACAATAAATTAGTGGAAGGAGTTTTGTGAGGACAGATACATTGTTCTTTTTCTTCACTCCACTCTACAGCTTCTCTTAATACAAGGACAAAACTGGGAGAATTTAGAATCAAGAGGTGTGTACAGGTATGAGATCTCAATTCAACTGATGATCACAGTTTTAGTTAGTATTTGTTGCCCACTTGAATTTTGTAGTTTAAAAAGGCAACCTAAAATGTGCTATTTTCTCCATGGCCATCCTCCCTTCATATTTGTATATCATTTAAAAACTGCTAGACTAGGCTGGGGGTATAGTTCGGTGGCATTGAGTTTCGAATGCTTGAAGCCCAGGGTTCAACCCATAGCACACACACATAAAAGTTAGACTAATATATTTTCTCTAAAGAAAAGTTGAGACTAAAAATCATCTAATACACACTCATAATCACAAATATACACAACCATTTCTCAGTGTATGAATACTAAAAATTATACCATAAGAGACCAATATGCAGTTTTGGAAATTTTTAGATAACAATTGAATTCTTAACATGAGAGCTAACACTAATACGGAAAGTAGAGTCTCCTTGTCGGGCTCCAAATGCTTTAGAATTGTCAACCTAGAAGTGTTCCATTTCATTCTTTTCACTTTACACTTGCTTTGCTACCACGGTAGTTGCCCGTCTCCTTCACTTTACAGGAACATAAACCGCTTCAGCAGAACTCAGTAACTTTGCTTCAAAAGTGGAGAGCTGGAGCTGTCCAACTCAAAACAGAAAATGAGAAGCTTTAGAAAGTTAATTTGTTCTTTTTTCTGAGTCACAAATTTAAACTGTTCAACTTTGGCTGATTAAAACTTGACTTATGTTAATAATTTTCCCAGGAGCTTGACTAGTGTGAATCAAGCCAGCATCAGCCTTAGGTGCTCTCTTAGTTACCTTTTCTTGCTGTGACAAAACACCTGAGAAAATAATTTAAGGAAGGAAGGAAGGAAGGATTTGCTTTGTCAGTCCACAATCACTTGGCCCCATTGCTATGGACTTGTGCTAGAGCAGATCATGGAGGAAAGGATATAAAGAGCAAAGCTGCTGCTCACCTCAGAGCAGCAGGAAGTAGAGAGACAGACAGGACGGGGCCAGGACCAAGACATACTCTTCAAACACACACCTACTTCAAAGTGGCTTACTTCCTCCAACTAGGCCCCACCTCCTTGTTTCTACTATCACCCATCAAACTGTGAATCCAAGGATGGATTGATCACTGATGATGTTAGAGCCCTTATAATCCAGTCACTTCTAACTCCATCAGCTGGCCAGTAGGCCTTTTGCACATGACCTTTTGGAGCCAAATTACAACTGTTGTCAATTTTGAGGCAGCAGTGATTCTAAGATGCTGATTGCTTCTGCACCACCTGAGAGTGGTACCTCCTTACATTTTGTGCCCTAGGTGTCTTGCTTGTTTCACCCTAGTCCCAGTTCTGATTTTCACTTTCAAAAATATTTACTAGAGGTATATATATATATTTTTTTGTTTGTTTGTTTTTCTGGTATTGGGGTTTAAACTCAGGGCCTTGTACTTGCTAGGCAGGAGCTCTACCACTTAAACCATGTCTGCATCCCCCAGAGTGATTGTTTTTTGTTTGTCTTTGTTTTCTTAAGATAGGATAGTATCATGCAGCCCAGGCTGGCCTCTAACTCCTGCGTCAGCCTCCTGAATATTGGGATTATAGGTATGTGCCACACTGTTTTTTTGTTTGTGTGCTTTTGTAGTTCTGAGGATGAAACCCAGACCCTTGCACATGGCTAGGCAATTGTGTTACCACTGAGTTACAACCCCAGTCTTTTTACTTTGCTTTGAAAAGAAACAAAGTTGGCTGTCTTTAGATGTTTGGCATTATGAAATGCCCCAACAATGTATTAATAAGGTACATAAAAATTAAAATTTAATTAGATGCATGTCCATACAAACTTCACTGATGCCATGCAATTTAGTAGTAGGTAATTTACATCTTGCTAATATTTAATTTTCAGACTTAACCCACTAAATAAAGCTTTCACTTATTATTTGGACTCATGAATAATGTGACTTTGAGGATGATATATAAAGTATATCAATTGAAATTGCTTACATCTTTTTTCAAAGTCTGGCATAATCTTTCAGAATCAAATAAGAATTGGCATTCTGAAAAAAAATACTTGCTATGTAGTTTTATGGGAAAATTGTAGTTGATCTAGTTGAATAGACACCTGAAGTTACTTTCTCTTAATATCCAACTTCAAAAACACTTATGAAAATTCAATATAGTTAATAAATTAGGCTTTTACAGCAAAGAAACAATTATTTAAAGGCAGAATTCAAGAACACAAGTGATAGTAGTAGTGATGGATAAGGCCTGGAATGCTATGGGTTGGAAAAAGAAAATATCTTTGAAGAACCTTTACCTAGAAATCCAGCCCAAGGATACCCACCCACTCTCCCTTTCTCCCTCTTTCCCTCTCTCTCTGAGACAGAGTCTCATGGTCTCTCTATGTAGCCCAGGCTGGCTTTAAGCTTGTGATCCTCCAGCCTCAGCCTCCTGAGTGTTGGGATTACAGGCAGGTGCCACCATACCTAGCCCTTCTTTCTTTTTCACTAATCATATAAAAGGCACTTTTAAGAGAATTTACTCCAAAAGCCATCTCTAAGATGGAAGCAATTCTCCAGTTTCTCAGACACCATTTCTAGCATGTATACTTTTGAAGTGCTTCAAATAATAGTTCCCAGTTTATCTCTCTCTCTTTTTTGTTTTGGTGGAACTAGGGTTTGAATACAGAGCTTTGTGCTTAAAAAGCAGGTGCTCTACTACTTGAGTCACAACTCTAGTCCACTTTGCTCTCATTATTGGCAGATGGGGGTCTTGTGAACTATTTGCCCAGCCTGGCCTTGAATTGTGATTCTCCCCATCTCAGCCTCATAAGTAGCTAGGATTATAGGTGTGAGCCACCAGCACCTGGCTCAGTTTATCTCTTAATAATATTCATCCAATAATTTCTTCCCAAATAGCTAGTATACCCTTTCCAGACTAGGAAACAATGTCTTTAGATATGCATAAGTCAATAATGTGTTTTGAACATTTCTTTCTCTTTTACAGTAACAAAACGGTAAAACAATGGCTAATACAAGGCATTGGTAATATAGATCAGTGGAAACAAATGCTCTGAACTAAAAAACTAGGTTTAATAATACCAAACATCTGTGAGCAAAGATTGCTATACTTTGGAAAAGTTTGACAGCTCCTTATAAACATGTGCTTACTATGTGACTCAGCATTTGTGCTCCAGAGTAGGTACCCAAGAGAAACAGAAACCTCCATTTATTAAAAAAAAGTATATGATTGTTTATACTTTATTTAGATTTATAATACTTTATATTGTAATATTAATATAATTAATTAATAATTAGAATTATTGTTTTATTTATAATGTTCCAAAATGGAAATGACTCAAATATCTATCATTTGGTGAATGAATCAACAAACTGTGCTTCAGTGATGTAATATAGCATAATTAGTAAGTTAGCTGGGTATGATGGCTCACACCTATAATCCTAGCCAGTCAGGAGGCAGAGCCTGGAAGGACAATGGTTTTGAGGTCTGAGCAAAAAGTCTGAGAAATCCTACCTCAACTCAAAAAAGTTGGCATTTGCCTATCATCCCAGCTACTTAGGAAGCAGAAATAGAAAGACTGCTGTCCAGGCTGGTTGGGCATAAAAGGGAGACACTATCTTAAAAATAACCAAAGCAAAAAGGGCTGGGAGCATAGCTCAAGAGGTAGAGTGCCTACCTTACAAGAGCAAGGTCCCGAGTTCAAACCCCAATAATGCCAAAAAAAAAAAAAAGAACAAATAGGTATAGAAAATGGATCAATTACTGACAAGGCAGGGAACTGGGGAAAAGGGGCACAGGGACTTTTTAGGGTGATGGAATTACTCCACGTATTGACTGTAGTGATTGTTACGATGTGTATTTGTCAAAAAGCACAGAAATGTGCACCAAAAAGGGTAATTATTACTATTTGTATATTCTACCTTCATAAATCTGACTTAAACAAAACAAAAACTGACTTATCTCTTGGTTACTAATTGGCTTTTGTCAAGACATTTAAAACTCATGTTTCCCCCTATCCAATGGGGATCACAGTTAGTCTAAAAGATTTTTGATGAGAAACAAATGAAAAAAAATAAAAGAACTTTATAAACTTTGAAGCTCAATACAAATATTGTATTTTAGGCACCGGATATACGATAGGTAAGACTGAGGTACAATGAAGAAATTTACTGTCTCATGGCAGAAAGAGATAAAACAGATAATGATTAAATAATGTGGAACTCAGTGTCAGAAATATGAACAAACCAACACCGATCAAGAAGAAGGGGCATTCCAGAAATAAGAGTTAACTCTAAGTAAAGTATGTTACAAGTTGCATCACAAGATGCATCCAAGATGGATTTTGAAACGCTTAAAAGGGTAAAAATGATTACAAAATGGAAAAAGTACCTCACGATGATTGAGAAGTTTCTCTAAATCTAATGCCATTTGATTCTTCATCTGGAGCAAAGCTGACTTTTCTTTATTTAAATTGCTGTAAAAAGAAAAAAAAAGACAAAGTTTAAAAAGTGGGCATGTCAGGGTAAATGTGGGCACTGGTCTGGTGGTTTTGTCAGAAGACTTCTTTTCACAGTCCACAGCTCAACTGGGACGATTTCTGAGAATCCTTCCTTGCTATGAGGGGCAGAAAACCAGTGCTATCAAGTTGGCTGTTTCTTCCGGAAATGTGGAACGATGAAGTGGGGCTTATCAAAGGTAAAAAGAAAGTGTATACAGCAAATATTAAAACACAACATAGTCAATTAAAACACTGATCCTTAAAACTAAAAGTAGCATTTGATAGCTTCCACACACTAAATTGCCAGATATATAACTGAGTTAGATAAATGAACCAATCTGTGGTAAATGTGGGAAAATAATTTTTGTCTACAAATTCTTAGTTCAATTCCTAAGTCTTCATCGTGAATTTCCCGTTGATATCATCTGTAGGTGAGAAGCTATCTTAAGAACCTAAAGGTAGGACATAATAATATTTAAAAAAAATAAATATTTAAGGCCTGCTTTATATTGCTTATCGTTTTATTAGTCAGTGTACAGAAGTTAGAGTAATTAAATACATGAAATAATAATAAATAAAACATTCTATCAAACATCACCAGAATAAATCTACTAAACTGGGACTATAATAAAAATTAAGAAAAGAAATTATAAATTGAAGTAACATAGTTTCTCCAATGTTGGGACAAAATTTGTGAGAGTAAAATTAAGGAGAATTATTTGCTAGATAGGTAATACATCTTTAAGAGAATGGAAGGCCCAGCAATTTTTAAAATACTGGGCAGAATCTTTCTTTTTTAATTCAAAAAGCAGTAGTATACCTGCTGGAATAATTGTAATTCCACAGATTTATGAAGAAAAGCCCATGTACTCCTCTTCCTGGTAACTGAGAACTTGCCCAGGAAGAGTCCCAGGTCGTCCTCCAGAAGACTGGACACAGTTCTAACCTGTTTCCAGTGTGCCACTGACTCATCTGTGTGCTACAAAACATAACACAGCGCTCCACTGAACCTCACTTTTCACATCTCTAACAGCAGAAATTACTCAGGTATGTCAAAGCATATGTGAATTATCTAATGAATGATTCTATATAAAGCACCGAACACATAAAACTCTACATAAATGCTGTACACGATTACTAATTTAGATGAAAAACAGGCATCAGAGGAAAACAGTAATTAAATGCCAATAAAGGTAAGCAGCTTAGTAGAAAAACAAACTGACTTTCAGAATTAGGCGCCATAGATCCTACTGAGCCAAGGAGTTGAAAAGAATGAGATAGTATAAAAGAAACAGTGCCATGTGCTCAGAGTCCCCAAAGCACAGCAAGGATCAGATGTTTCTTAGACTCTAAAATTCTAATCTATACCTGGAATCACTTTGAAGATAAAACACTCTTCAAAATTAAAGTAAAATCCAGGAAAGAGGCCTGGGAATTTTCAAGGAACAGGTAAGTGTCTGTGTTCATATGTAAGTACACACATATACACAAGCATTTAAATATGCTCACTACATACAATACACATATTGTCCCTCTCTGCCTCAAATAGATAAAATGTAGCACAGTAGAAATGGAATGTTGAAGTAATTAAAGGATTTAGACTGAATAATTCATTAGGAATGTTTTATATGAAAGTTTAACTTTTAAGAATAAGGTAACTATTCAGTAGTTAACTAGCAAAAACAACCATACAGCATGAGGTAAGACAAGGTGAGTGGATAAACTGGGTACACATCAACTGTGTTGTATCTGAAAGACGTCAGTTATCGCAAGTCGTATGAACTCTACGCATAACACATCTGTGATTACAGTATCTGGGTGTACATTTTGAAAGTCTTATTCTTTACTACAATATGCTTCAACCCCAAACGAGCCTACCTTCAACATGTGAGTCTCTAAAACTTAATATGATGATTATTATATTTGCTGGTCTGCTAGTATGTATGTAATTACTCAACAGAAATTTATTCTTTATAAGTATATTTCCTAACAGTGAAAACTTACCTTTAAAAATGTAAAACTTCTATGTGGGACTCATAAAACAACTACAAAACAAATCTCCTTATAAGCACATTTATCTTGAATGGCATATTACGCCATAATTGTTCAATTCACTGTTAATAATTACTTAGAAACTCATGTTTATGGCTCTGTTCACCTGCTATATGAAAACATATTCTTGATATATTGTTCCTTAACTTCCGGGATCAATACATGCTGGCTTAGCCTGGCAAGAGAAGTTGACAATGTACTCTTTTCTTTAACTATGAGTTAAATAATAAAATGAGAACTGACAACAGGGAGAGAAAATTTATGCTAATTTTTCTCTTTGTCTGCAGAGATCTCACTGTTGCTCAGACAGTCTTGGTGGAGAGTTAACAGTTTTCTTTTAGAATGGATTGTCACTTTAATGATAGGGGAATTTGAAGCAGTTACTAGAGATATCTCAAGTGTAAGTTTTAAAACACATTTGTACCAATTTTTTATCAGTGCATATTTACTCTAATCTTTCTAGATATTGAACATATATAATTAGCTGAATTTGCAAGGGTAAGTGTGGTAGAGCAGTATTGTTTAATATTCAATTCATTACAGAGCTCTTATTTTATAAGTTAGAAAAACATTTTTATAATCAGTTGATAGAAATATTCCTTTTTTTGGGTGGCACTCAGGCTTGAACTCAGGGCCTCATGTTTGCTAGGCAGTGCTCTACCACTTGAGGCGGTCCATCAGCCCTTTTTTATGTTTGGTATTTTTGAGTTAGGGTCTCATAAATTATTTGCCCAGGGCATTGAACCTCGATCCTCCTGATCTAGCCAGGATTACAGCTATGAGCCACTGGCACTTGGCCTGATAGAAATATTCTTAACAAATAATCCACCAAAGAGGAATAGGAATTTGTTTCTCTTGTCTACCACCTACCTCAGAAATTGGAATTTTTAAAGAATATTAATAACTTAGTAACTCTTTCTGATGGGCCATCTAATGTTGAAAATTTGAAATGATAAAGGACAAGGGGATGGAGGAAAAGTAACACTTGCTGAATTTCTCCTATGTGCCAGAAATTTTATGTATGTCCCTTCATTTAATTTTCACATTATTTTCTGTGCTTCACAGGCACATTTACCTTGAGAAAAGAAATCAGGTTGATGTGTATTTAAAACCCAGGCTAGTTCCACTGCAGGACTGGAAACATCATGGGCTTAGAGAAGGGTGGAGACTGAGTGAGGGTACACAGAACTGGGATCTCTCTTAATCTATCTGACTTATTGGTGGAGCTGACTTTTACTTTTTTTATCACATGTAACCAGGATATATTTACACCATCTCAAGTGCATTCATACTACTGAATGCACTTTAACTTTTTACATTAGGAGGCAGTTGCTTCAATTAAGAGCAACATTTCATATCCTATGAAATTAGTTCAGAATATGCTAAAATATACCATAAATTCATGAAACATAGAGTGTTAGAGGACTCAAATGTTTAACAAAAATATTTTGGCAGTTAATTCTGTAACTGACATAGCTTTTATGATTACTGTTGCTATTATTAAGGGAGTCTTAACTTTTGTCCAAATTCAATACATTTTGAGAAATATTGTTATTTTTGGTGGAAGTGGGGTTTGAACTTAGGGCTTGGCACTTGCAAGGCAGGTATTCTACTACTTGAGCCATATCTTCAGCCCTTTTATCCTCCTCTGGTTATTTATTTATTTATTTGTCCAACCTGGCTTGGACCACAATCCTCCTTCCATCACAGCTGGGATGATAGGTGCTTACCACCACAACTAGCTTATTTCCACTGAGATGAAGTCTCACAAACTTTTTTGTCCAGGATTGCAATGGATCCTTGATCCTCTCAATCTCAGCCTCCTGAATAGTTTGGAATGACTGGCATAAGCCACTGGGGCCAGCTATTGGTTGAAATGATATCTTACAAACCTTTTTGCTGGGGCTGTCCTCAAACTACCATCCTCAAGATCTCAGCCTCCCAAGTAGCTAGTATTACAGGTATTAGCCACTGGTGCCCAGCTTACTTCCTATTTTGAAGATAACTATCTAGATACAAATTTGTTAAAGGTAAGATAAATACTAATAACAGCAAACATTTATTAAGTATGTATCATGTTTAAGCAATATGTTATGCAGAATATAAAAATTTTATCTCTTAAGATGGGCACTCAGGCCAAACTGGGTAAAAATTCATAAGATCCCATCTCCAGAAATAATCAGAGCAAAATGGACTGGAGGTGTGGCTCAAGTGGTAAAGAGCCTGCTTTGCAAGCGTGAAGCCCTGAGTTCAAATCCCAGTCCTACCAAAAAAAACCCAAACTATCATTTAATCCTCAGAATAATGACATATGAATTAGGTACTGTTAAGACCATTCTATTTTCACAAATGAGGAAATTGGCTATCCTGTTCAATTCCATAGGCATGAGCCAAAGTGAGAATTAAAATGAAAATTAATTTAAATAAAATTAAAATTTTAGTGCTCAGTAACACTAGTCACTTTTCAAATGCACATCTGCCAAATGTGACTACCATACTGGTCAGAGCAGACATGGAAACTTATCATTTCAGAAAGTTGTATAGGATAATAAAAGCTTAGAGTTTCACTGATTGCCCCAATTCAAAACTAAGTACTGGGCTGGATTTGAATCCAGGCAACCTATCTAATCAAGGCTGTATTCCCTTTTCAAATCATTAAGCAACAAAATAAATAAATAAAATCTTTAAACAAATACTGAAAACAAATTTATAACACAATATTTTAAAGAGAAAATATAACATCCCCCATGTTACATCTGTCACCCAGCTTCGATAATTATCAACTTAAAGCCCTAATTTTAACCAGTATTCTACACGATTTCTTGCTTTATTAGCTAATGAAAAAATTATCCATTATTCGGAATAGAACACAGGGATGCAGTATAACATAATGGTCAAGAATACAGAATTAGAACGTGAACAAGTATGGATTCAAACTTGGACTCCACATTCAAGCTGCATATTCTTTTTTTCTTTTTTTTTTGGTGGGATTGGGGCTTGAGTTTTGCACTTGTGAAGCAGGCTGTATGCTTTTAGGGGATAAGTTGCTTAATTCTCTATGGTGGTCATCTTTATAATTCTCTCCGGTAGCTACCTAATATTTTTTTGTAACTACACACTTAAAAAAATAAGCATTTAAAAATAAAGTTATTTGAAGGCAATGGTAGGAGCAGTAATTTATTTCCAGGTTTTTATATATCTCTTCTCCAAGATCATGAGGACAAATAAATATCTTTTCTTCTTCATTATACTGGGATGGAACCCAGGGCCACCTGACTACTTGAGCTACATCTTGAGCCTCCACTCAGTTTTTCATTAATTTTTTTTGATGGTATTGGGGCTTGAACTCAGGGCCCTGTGCTTGCTATGCAGGCACTCTACCACTTGAACTATGCTTCTAGACCTAATTTTTTGAGATAGCCTCTTACTAAATTTACCTAAGTTGACCTCAAACTTACCATCCTCCTGCCTCTCCCTCCAGAGTAGTGGGGCACGCCACCATGTCCAGCGATGACCAAGTATCTTAAGAAGAAAAAGTTCAATTTCCCTAAGATAACCAAGAGTCCAGCAGATGATGAAAGACATAATTTCTATTGTCTTCAATATGATGTACTTTTGCACCAATTTTTTTTTTTTTGGAAGTATTAGGGATTGAACTCTGGACATTGTGCTTGCGAGGCAGGTACTCTACCACTTGAACCACACCTTACATACTTTTATAGTATAATTAATTGAGTTCATTTGTTAATGTTATATATTTTTACTCGAACACAGAAATTATTTATCCTGAAGTTTAAAGCTTATATGCGATTTTAAGGGCTGGTGAGTTGGGTCAAGCGGTTAGAGTGCCTGCCTAGCAAGCACGAGGTCCTGAGTTCAAACCCTAGTGTCACCAGAAAAAAAAATTTGCATTGCCTTTGGAGAGCTTATACGTTATTTTAAATTATTTTATCATATCATCAAAAAAATAAAAACAGGAGTAAAGGTTGGTACCAATTATTTTGGTAGGGAAGGAAAAAAAGAGGTGATGAAAGCCAGGTACCCGTGGCTCATGCCTGTAATCCTAGCTACTAGAGAGGCAGGGATCAGTAGGACTGAGATTTGAAGTCAATGCGGGCAAATAGTTTGCAATACCCTGTTTCAAAAACACCTAAAACAAAACAGGGCCAGTGGAGTGGCTCAAGTGGTTGAGTGCCTGCCTACCAAGCATGAGGTCCTGAATTCAAACTCTGGTACCATCAAAAAGGAGGTGATGAGAATTTCTTTGAACCATCTTAAGTTTTTTTGCTTGTACATCTTGGGAAACCTGGACTTAATAATTATCTTATTGTTTTCTAATTTTTTTTTGATAGTACTAGGAATTGAACTCACATTTGCTAGGCAAATGCTCTACTACTTCAGCCATGCTGCCAATCCTTTTACTTTTAGTTTGCTTTCCATTGAGAGCCTCATGCTTTTGCCTGGGCTGGCCTCAGACTGTGACCATCCTACCTCACTTCCTGAGCAGCTGGGATTACGGATATATGACCATGCGGGTTGGTTTGTTTAAATAGGGTCTTGCTAACATTTTTGGCCAAGGAACTACCATCCTTCTGTTTCTTTCTTCCACGTAACCAATATTACAGATGCGGGCCACCAAGCCTGGCCCTTTTTGTTTTTTAATTATTTTTTTTTCTTTTGTGGTACTGGGATTTGAACTCAGGGCCTCATGCTTGCTAGGCAGGTATTCATTCTACCATTTGAGCCACTCTGCCAGTCCTGTTTTTATGTTGGGTATTTTTGAGATAGGGTCTCATGAACTATTTGCCTGTGCCTGGATCCTCCTGATCTCTCCTCCTGAGTAGCTAGGATTACAGATGTGAACCAACGGTGCCCAGCTGTTTTCTAATTTAATAATTTCTATTCCTGCCTACTTCTCTGTTCCACATTTATGTTAGGTTATCCAGAAAAAATTTAAATTATTGTAATAATCTTAAAATAAAATAACTAAGCCAACTAACCTATAATTTACAAGTAAGACCTTTTCCATAATATATAGTATGATTCTTTTATTTCAGTTTAAAAAACTAAAATAATCATATAGAAGAACAGGCAAAAAACCTTTTTTTTTCTTTTTACAGTACTAGGGCTTGAATTCAGGGCCTATACCTGGAACCACTTCACCAGCCCTTTTCTGTGATGGGTTTTTTGAGATAACAGGGTCTCACAAACTATTTGCCTGGGCTGTCTTTGAACTGCAGTACTCCTGATCTTTGCTTCCTGAGTAGCTAGGATTACTGGTATAATTTTTTTGTGGCAGAACTGGGGTTTGAATTTAGGGCCTCATACTTGCTAGGCAGCCCTTAAGGCAAAAAACTTTGAATGACTGATAAATGGAGGTCTTTTGGATCAGGTCTCAGTTAAAACACAATTTCTTACTGCTCCCCCAGCCCTTAAGGCAAAAAACTTTGAATGACTGATAAATGGAGGTCTTTTGGATCAGGTCTCAGTTAAAACACAATTTCAAACAAGATGAATTTATTTATTTACATTGAAACAATTCATAAGTCCCTTCATACAAAGGATCAAGAGAAGAGAAGAGTAAAAATTCCTTGACAAAGTGAACATGAATCTAAGTAAACGTGTACACTTCACCTGGTTAAAGTAATTTCAACCCCACAAATGGCATGTGGGTGTAGTCCTCCTCTCCTTTTGTAACCCAATCCCCTAAAGAATTCTAGAATATATGCCCACCTGCAACACATGGAGGAATCCCTTGGGATTAAAAATGAAGGACAGAATCGTATAATAGGTACAATGTGGGTGGGGGGATACTTGTGGGAGGGGGAGGGTGAATGAAGGAACGGAAGGTGAGGGAATATGGTTGATGGGCTTCATACACATATATAAAATAGAAAATAAGAGAATTCTAGGAGAACAAAGACAGGATAGTTCTGTGTTCCCTAGGGTAGGTAGATGGAGTGTTTTGTTACTAAGGGTAGACTGTTAGCGTCATGCTCAGGGACACTTGTCATCACACGGTACAATATAACACCTTATGCGAAGAGACCTAGTTTTTCTAAGAGAAGTTACATTATTTCATTTAGGACCACCTTTATTATTTATCTTTTTCATAATTTACAATCCAAATTCATCTATAGCAGCATTATGTTTACAATGTTTTATTATTCAAATCAAAAACTTGTAGATGGTTTACCTGACATCTTTTTCAAGTTGCGCTATATACTTGGTCAGTGAATCAATCTTAGAATCTCTCTGACGCACTGATTCAATGAGGTATCTGTAAGGTTGTTGACTCTGGTTTAACAGTGAATTGGCCCTGTCAAGCTAAAGAAATACAGTTTTATTAAACTTTAAAAATTATGACAAAACCTAAAACCATTCAAAATGTTCTACAAGTATAATAAACCAAAGCCATAACATAAATTTTTTTGGTGCTGGGGATTGAACCCAGGGCCTCGTACATGCTAATCGCATGCTCTACCACTGAGTGGGACTCCCAGCCCCTAGCACACTAAACCTTTTTTATATGAATTATTCTTGAAAAGCTTTTCCTGTGTAAATTTGAAGGTTTTAATGACTAATCAATACAGCATTATAATGAGTCATAATGGGTACAAATAAGACAAATTTTAAGTAAAATATTAAGTTACCAATTTTGGGGATGGGTCATCTATATTTTCTATCTGTTGGTCTGAATGACCTAAAATACATCTTTTTTTAAATGAAAACCTTTAGCTAAAAATGAAAATCTTTCATTTCTACTAAGAAAACTGTAATCATATAATTTATTCATTTTCCTGTTTTTAAAATATGTAATTTATATACCTGGACCACTACATAATTAAAAATTAAAAATACTGTGGTTAAAATATAAACAAATAAAATGCACCACCTTAACTACTGTATGTCGTGCCTAGTCAGTGGTGTGCAGCCTGTTCCCATCCTGTCTGCTTTGGTGCTGCTGATGAACCAGGGCTGAGCACGCGCTCTAAGCACTGAACAAGGCTCCTACCCCAAGAATTTGTTGGATTACAATTGACAATGTACTTTTGCACTTTTTTTTTTTTGGGGTTGTTGTTGTTTGGTGGTGGCGCCAGTAATTGAGTCCGGGGCCTTATCACTGAGATATACCCCCAGCCTAAAAGTATTTCCAGAATATTTTCATAACCCTCAACAGAACACTTTACCCATTAAGTAAAGACTACTCATTTTCCTCTCTTCCAGGCTATAGAAACTGTTCTATTTTCTGGTGCTATGAATTTGCCTTTTAGAAATACCTAACACAGAATCATATAGTATTTGCCAATTTGTGTCTCATTAGTTCACTTAGCCTAATGTTTTTTGAGGTTCAGTCATTCCTTTTTATGGCTAATATTATACTGTATGTTTGTAGTACATTTTGTTTAGTATGTATCGTTGATGGACATTTGGGTGTTCCCAGTTTCTGACTATTAAGAATAATGCTGCCGTGAAACTTGCTGTGCAAATACATGTTTGAGACCTGTTTTCAAGTTTTTTTTGAGTATCTACTTAGTACTGGCATAAAATTGCTGGATCGTATGTAATTGTACATTTAAATTTTTGAGGAACTGCCAACTGTTTTCCATAGCAGCCATACCATTTTTTGTTCCTACCAACAATACACTTGGCTCCAGTTTCTCCACATCTTGCCCAACTCTTGCTATTTCATGTGCATGGACGCTATCGTAGATCTTTCGAAACATGTCTATTCAACTCTTGTGCTTGCATTTTAATTCTTTTTGTTGTGGAGTTGTAGGGGTTCTTTATATATTCTGGATGATAAACTCTTATTAGAGATATGATTTGCAAATATTTTCTTTCATTTTGTGGAATGTCTCCACCCCCGCCCTTTTTTTTGAGACAGTTTCTCACTAGGTAGTCCAGGTTGGCCTCAAACTCAGGATCTTCCTGCCTCTACCTCCTGAATGCTGAGATTACAGATGTGTACCACCATGCCCTGCTTGTATTTTTTCTCAGGTGAATTGTACTTAGGAGCAGAGAACAGTGAGATGGTAGAGAGGCAGGGAGAGTGGAACATGACAAGGAAGGGCACACGATGATGATGATGTGGAGCTCAGGTGGGTGGGGAGGGAAGTGCAGCAGAGAGGAAGTCATTGTTAGAGGATGTCTGCTTGCACTTAGGGGCTATTTTATAAAACTATTTAAGTTATCCATCCATATTATATTAGAAAACAAATTCTATTAGAAGATGTTCTTATGTCATATTAGCTGTATAGTTCAGGGAAAAATTCCTCAAAGGAAATGAACAGTGAAAGAAAAGACTTACCTTTTTTTTTTTTTGACACCATTCATTACAGAGAAAACAGAGCCACAGAGAAAAAAAATACCACAAATATTTTCTATAGTTTGGGTTTTAGTGTACTTTTGTTTTGCTTTAGTAATCATTCTTTAAAATCTATTACAATGTCACTGGAATCTTATTCTACTAAGTTACCTTATGAACATTCAAATATGCAGCTGGACTAAGTTCTCCTAACCTGTATAACCAGTTTCTCCAGTCAATTAAATCAAACAATCGCCTTGACTTTGTTTTCACAGGACTGACCCTAACTGAATAAACTGAACTGACAAGTTGCTTTGTGTTTCAGAGTGCAGAGAAGTCCATGTGTGCCTGTGGGGTGGAGTGGGGGGCAAGGGTGGGCAGGGAAGGACTAAAGACCACTTACAAATTATAGCTAACTGTGGTCTAAAATGAGCTGTTTAAAACTTAACCTAACTTCAGTCACACAAACAATAAAACAGCAGCCCAATCTAATACAGTTTAAGTTCTATGCTTCATGCCAGCAATTATATACATTTGGTTTTAATATTATAAACATAATTAAGGTCCAGAAGCCTTACTTTCAATGTATCTGATACATATGATGGGGCCTCCTCACTCTCTAGATAAAAACAAAAACAAAACTACAATAGTACTGTCAGATTTTTTTTGTTTTGATGGTATTGAGGTTTGAACTCAGGGCTTGCAAGGCAGGCACTCTACCACTTGAGCCTTCCTCCCCTGTTTTGTGTTGGATATTTTTAAGTTAGGGTTTCATGAACTGTTTGCCCCAGTTGGTTCAAACCTTGACCCTCCTGATCTCTACCTCCTGAGTAGCTAGGATTATAGGTGTGAGCCACCAGTGCACAACCAGTACTATCAAGTGTTAAGGATTTATTTCTTTGTAAACTTGTTTGTGGGCCTTTAAATCTTCAAATTCTCCCTCCCTCCCTTCCTCTCTCCTAGTGCTGGTGATACAATCTAGGTGTTGTACATACTAGGAAATCCCCAGGTGCCCCCCTCCCCAATCTATTTTTATTCCCCAGGCCAAAAAGAGAGTATCCCTCAATGAAAAGTGATGATAATTTCTATATTTGAAATAAATGCAATTGAGCAGAATTTAACTCAATCCCTCCGATATGGTTTTTAAAAGTCTTTCTGTAACAATAATAATGAGTATACAGAAAGTTTCACAACCACTCACTTTGCCTATTGTTAGTAATCTTTTCCTTATAGGCAAGTCTTAATAATTAGTGACTCAGGAATCCTATACGTAATAAATGACTCAGGATTAAAATCATGACACAACATTTTATAGAATTGTTATTCCTCCTTTGTTTCAATAACTTGTACAGATGATTCACATGAAGGCAACACTTGATTAAAATATAATTATATATTTTGATTCAAATACTAATTTAAATTATACTTGGATGATAATATAAAATTATATGTTCTCTTAAAAAATAAAGGTAATATATTTTGTTGTGTGATTTTCTTTAAAAAAGGCAAAAGATTATACGATCTGAAGAGAAACCAGAGAATATATACTCAGAGTATATATAGTGTGATTTTCTTTAATGTGGAATCTTTCTTGGGGAGTATACTTTCACAGAAGCTCCTGGAATTGTGGCTTTCTTGCCAGGAACGAAATGTATTCTGTTGAATGGAATCTAGCATTGAGTTGATTTCTGTTCAAAAACCATATACAAGTGATACAGAAGTGGAGGTAGTCTTAGCAGAAGATGTGCATTACACTAAATGTAAAATGCCTACTTAATGTTCGACATGAGGCAACACACTTTGGTGTTTCTCTGTGTTCTCAATCACTTGGGAAAGTGTTAGAAAACATTTTAACGTCCTGACTAAATCACATTTGTCAGAGTGGGGATAAATTTGGAGAGTACAGCTCTAGTGACCTTGGACTTGTTGTAGGCTACTTTACCTGACTACTTTTGTTGGTAAACCATGTTACATTCTGAACTTAACCATCCTGCTTATTAAAACCAGTTCTTTTCCCCTTGTTCCCATATAGTTAATGACATCATCATATAGATGATGCTTTACCAATTAGGATCCTGGAGAAACTGTTGTGCCAGATGTGGAACTCCTGGTTGCTGGATTGAGGGGCGTGTAGGGAGAGTGGGTTTCAAGAAAAAGGACAATACAGACAGGATTGCGGTAGCAGCTGTTTAACCAATGCTTCTGCAAGCCTTTTATTATTTTAATAGCCAAAAGCAAATTGATTATCAGCCCTGCATTTGGTTCTAAAGTTCTCCAAGTATGGGCCAGGAAAGGAGAACTTCATGAGAGGAAGATGTTAAAATTTTTGAAAGTAACCAGCATAGAAGAATGACTGAATTACTGAAGTAGACAGGACTACATAAAATTATTTTTTCCAAATGTGGCCCTGTATCAATTTTAGTAGAGCTCATTAAGAGTGCAGATTCTGGGTTTCATTCTATACCTACTTAATTACAGTCTCTGGGAGCAGGATCTAGAAATGTACATTTTGAAGAAGAACCTTGGATGAACTTTATACTCATTAATGTTTTAGAATCACTGACCAGGTAAAAGAGTAGAGCAAAAGGCAGATATGAAGGATACCATTTAAGAGTTAGAAAAAGAGACATCAACTAAGAGCCATTTGGGCTACAGGATCAGAGCCAGACGAACAGCTCTGTGTAAAGCAAAAAGACAAAATTTCTAGAATGTCTACAATGTCATGCCATAGGTAGATCAGATTGGATGGGCATGACTGATGGAAGAGATAATAATATGATATAAGATATATGGTGTAATATTTGAAAGGGTAACAGCAAAAAGGGAAAAAAGAGTAAGTGAAGGTAATAAAAAGTCCTCTGGTAAAGGGGAAATTTAAGGAAAATCAGTTCAGATTAGAAAAGAAGTTGGATGACAGAACTGATGGATTTGGGATGTAGACATTTGCAGTGGGAAGCAGGATAGATCTAAAAACACTGGGTAAGAGTAGTGAGGGCCTGGTAGATGTTCAAAAACAGGAATCTGTCATGCTTCCAACCAGTGAAGTAACAGATTTCCACAAGAATTTTTCAGCATGTGACCACGAAACCAAAAGATTTTCTTTCTCTCTTCTTCCTTCTACTAAATATTTATAAAGTAACTACCAGATAGTAAAATAGTATGGTAACGTACAGATGTCAAGAAATGCCTGATGGATACACTTGGCCACAAAGCAGACTAGAGTGCTAGTGAAGTACAGTAAGTACTGAGATGGCTGGGTGGGAAAAAGTAAGACAAGGAGGGGCTTAAGAGATTGCAAAAATGCAAAAAGTGTGTGAGACTGTGCTGTAATGAGTTCAAATACAAGTAGATTTAACAGGAATGAAATTCTTGGGAGAGCTAAGAGGATGGGAAATGAGACAGAGAAAAGAATTTATGAGTTCAAGTCTTAGAAATTTCTTTCTCTTTCAAAGCTTCCCGAGAAATTCATTTTATTTTATTTATTTTTTTCTTGCAGTACTGTGGCTTGAACTCAGGGCCTACACCTTGTGCCTGTGTTTTTTTCGAGATTCGGTCTTGCTAACTATTTGCCTGGGCTAGCTTTGAACCTTGATCCTCCTGATATCTGCCTCCTAAGTGGCTAAGATTACAGGCATGAACCACTGGTGCCTGACAAGAAATTCATTTTAAAGTGATTCAATTATATAAAAATGCTGATTGGGGTGTGTGTGAAGAATTTGCATTATAATTTGCAAATAGCTGTTTTTCTTCTTGGCAGTACTAGAGTTAGAAGTCAGGGCTTCGTGCTTGTGAATCAGGTGCCTGACAGCTTGAGTCAAACATCCAGTCCATTTTGCTGTGGTTACTTCGGAGTTAGGGTCTGGTATTTGCCTGGGCTAGCCTCAAACCACAATCCTCACAATCTCAGTCTCCCAAGTATCTAGGTTTACAGTTAATTAATTTTTTAAAAAAAGAGATAGCATTTTGCTACATTGCCTCCAGGCTGGCCTTGAACTCTTGGGTTCAAGAGCTCTTCCTGCCTCAGCCTCCCAAGTAGCTAGGATTAGAGTTGTGTACCATTGCACACCTCTAGATTTGACTTTTTTGAGCAATTTCAGGTTCATATCAAAATCGAGGAGAAAGAAAGTCTCTCTACACTGACACATTATCACCTTAAGTCTGTAGTTTACATTAGGGTCCACTTAACATTTGGGCTTGCATTTAACATTTGCATTAACATTTGGGTAGGCACATAACATGTGCCTACCACAGAATAGTTTTACTGCCCTGAAAATCCCCTTGGCCCTGCCTATTCAGCATTGCCTTCCCAGTGACTTCTGGAAACCACCGGTCTCTTTCTTTCTGTCTCTATAGTTTGGCTTTTCCTAGAATGTGGCATAGTTGGAATTACATAGTATGTAGACCTTTCAGATTATCTTT